TGCAAAACAAAACACTTGCCTGATTTCAAACCACACCTCACTACACTTTCAAAACAACTTTCAAAAACAAATGAAAACCTTTTCAAAAGACATACATCTTTGTATACATCCCCACATGGATCATTACAAAGGTTGCCACCACATTGGCCTCTTTTCAAAATATTTTCAAACCCACTCACACTCAAGCACCATTTAAAACAATTGAAAACAAAAGGCAAGTGATCTAAGCAAGTAACTAAGAGCCCATGGATAACCATGGATAGAAAGGGTGCTAATACCTTCCCTTTCTATAATCTACTCCCCGAACCCAAGAACACCATCTCAAAAGGTTTTTGCTGTGCTTTTTAACCTTTCCTTAGGATAAAATAAAAAGTCGGTGGCGACTCTTGCTAACCGCAACATTTGCGAATACAAACGCAAACCTCAAGTCAGTTCTCCCACCGTATCACAGCCACCATGTTAATTCCATACAATGGGAATTAACAAATGCAACATGATATGTAAGTATGTAACACTCAGCATACTATAAACATCAATCAACATATCATGCAACATCAACAACATCAAATCATAACAAGATATGGATAGCATGCAATCACTCATCATACTATTTAAACATCAATCATACCAAGTCATATCATAATTCATGCTCGATAACATTATCCAAAAGCATGGCAATAAAATCCCAAAATCAAGCACTGAAACAAAGTTCAGAAAAATCAACACAGTAACCTCAACACGGGTGCCCGTGTCGTACAACACGGCCCGTGTTGGGCAATACGTCCAAAAACACAATTTTTCCTCATCAATACAGGGACTCAACACGGGTGCCCGTGTTGTGCAACACGGCCCGTGTTGTAACATATCCAGAAGCACACATTTTTCTCATTACAGGGGACCTAACACGGGTACCCGTGTTGTGCAACACGGCCCGTGTTGTGCAACCAGAAGCACACCATCTCCCAACACAGAAGAGCAACACGGGTGCCCGTGTTGTGCAACACGGCCCGTGTTGCTGAGCGCGTACAGGATTTACCTGAACCTGCAGCAGCTCAGAAACAGCAGCTAAACGCGGGAAAATGTCGGCTAAACGCGCATTTCGGTACCTAACGACATCGATGTTTCACAACTCAAAACAACACGTTCATTTCATAATTACCAACAATTGTTATAGTAACCTTAACAGCGATTACTCGTCTCTTTTTGGGGAATTTTTGACAACATTAAGGTTAGCCCTACAACCTCCAAGGTAAATTCACGATCATACAGATATACTCCCAATTCACCATTTGGAACCTAAAATTCCTAATCGATTCATAAAAATTGGGAACCTAACCATTTTCTACAAGGTTCAATCTTAAGGGTATCGATTCCTACTAACATCTAACAATTGGGGTTTTTCCCTACGATTACCCAAATCAACCGTACATAAACCCATAAACAAAGGTAAACCGAGTAATAACCCCCCTTACCTTATCAATTAGCAGCTTTGAATTCTTGAGCGATGTTCTTCGTTCTTCGTACCTTCAGAGTTCTGCTTCCCAAAATCCAAACTTCTGTTTATCGTGAAATGAGAAAAATAACTTGAGTTCCAAAACATAACTTTATTTCTCCTGCACCCCCACTCTTACTAACAACATCTAAGCCCAATAACTTAAAAACTCAGCATTTTCTTATTTCTTTTATTTTCCTCCATATTTCAAAATAAATAATTCCTTTTTATTTTATTAATCCTAATAAAATAATTTCCCAAATTTAAATAATTCAAATAATTGAAACTAGGGTGTTACAGAGAGAAGAAGATAGCATTTGTTCATATATCAAATATATTAACACTTATTATATTGTTTTACATCAAAATAGCACATTAATTTTTTCCACCTCACTAAAATTTATCTATATTCTATTCAATTATGATCTTTTAAATATTATATATTAATACAATGAATATTTTTTCCTCGTGTTCTATTATTTTCTCTTATGTTAAATATTCAAGTATTATTTTATACAATTTAGACATGTATCGAATTTAAAAACATAAATAATTTTTTTTAAAAGTAATATACCTCTGTTCTGTGCCTTTCAATACTTTACTCACATAATACACTGACCTTTCTCCCTCTGCACCATCTTGAACAAGAACCGAGCTCATGGCATTGTCGGATACTGATAGGTATAATACCAGGGGGGAGTTTTCCTTGGGTCTGGTCAGAATTGGTGGAGAAGATATGAACTTTTTCACAGTCAGGAATGCTTCTTCACAAGCAGGTGTCCATTCAAACTTTTTAGCCTTCCGAATTGCTACAAAGAAGTGAATGACCTTGTCGCCTGCACATGATAAGAATCGGGATAGAGTCACCAACCTTCTCGTCAACTGTTGAACCTCGGTTTTGGACGAAGGACTTCTCATGTCAAGGACTGCCTGGCACTTATCCGAATTGGCTTCGATTCCCCGGCTTATGAGCATGAATCTAAGGAACTTGCCTGCCTGTACCCCAAAGGTACATTTTTTCGGGTTCAGCCTCATATCCGTGGTGTATTTTCCCGGATCTTGAGATTGTGCCTTCTTGTTCAGTTTCAGGCTGTTTTTATAACACTTTCTTGCCAGACCTTGGAATCCCTTTACGATCCCTACCTGACCGCCTCCAAGCGGATACTTCCTGGTAAGGTACAACGTTAATAGAGCAGCTGCAAGGGCGTTGAATGAAGGCCTGCCGATGATGGCGTTATAAGATGATGCTGAATTAATCACCAGGTATCTGACTTTGATGGTCTTTGCATTCTCGCCGCTTCCAAAGGTTGTGAGAACGGGTAGGTGCCCCATTATCTGTACCTGTTCGCCAGCGAATTCGACGAGTGTGCCTCGAAAAGGGAGCAACTCAGCCATGTCGAACTCTATTCCACGGAATGCTTCCCAATAGAGTATGTCAGCGGAGCTGTCCGAATCCACCAGGACTCGATTGACGTTCCAATCACGAATTTGTGTTTTGATAACCATGTGATCATCTTCATGGGACATGACACCCATAACATCCTGTTTAGAGAAGTCGACCGGCTCTAGCTCCTGATCAACCTTAGGTACCATAGTTTCAGATATGTGCATGACATTTCAAGAGTATTTCTTTCGTGAAGAACTTGTTTCTCCGCCGCCAACGAACCCGCCAGCAATGGTGTTGATGGTGTGATGGACGCCAGTGACTTTCTGGGCAGTTTCAACCTCATTTTCTTCCCTGGACCAACTTCTTGGTAAGGTCCTGGTAGCTCAAGATGAAATGCCGAGGAAGACTCATGTACCATCTGAGGGCTACATCTTTTAGTGTGCCAACCATAAGCTTGCATTTCAAGGACTCGGTGGGGGAGATTTTTTCCATTTGATTGTTAACAGTGATGATGTGCTTTTGAGAATTTGACTTCCCGTCATAAGAGGCTAGCGACGGTGGTCGGAAATTTTCAGGAACCACATCATCCCAAATTTATTGAGAAAGTGGTTGAGTATCGAAAGGCTCCTCCTCAGGAGTAGGTTGGTCAGCCTGACTCTGCAGCTTTCTTCGTGAAGTCGTCGGAGGACAAGTCTATGCCTTCAGTATCGTGGATGGTCAGGGCAACCTCCCCGATTGCAGATCTGATGGTTTTCGGCGCTTTCTCGACGACCAGATCAGTTTCGATGGATTTGCCGTTGTTGATGGCCGGATCCTTCACGCCGGAGGTTTCTGGAATGCCAGACATCGTTTGGATGGAATGTAGCTTCTGTGTTAGGATCGCAGAGGGATTGATTTAACACGGGGAAACTGGTTTCCCACAGACGGTGCCACTGATCTCACCTGATCAGAAGGGGACGACGTCCGACTGGCAGTTGGCTCCGACGACGAGATTGGAGAAGGAGGTGGGGGGTACCTGCAAAACCCTCTGATGCTCAAGTCAGAAAGAGGAGAGAGATCAGAGAGAGAGGTAGAATTTAGGGTAAGGAATTGTGTACCTTGGTCTCAAGTGATGAGACCTTTTTATAGACCCCTCAACGATGGGCCGGGTGGCAAGTTCATGGGCAAATTGGGAGGCCCAATACTGGCTGCCACGTAAGGGTGACATGGGGGATAAAGTTTGATCTTATCCGTAGGGGAGACAGTCAATGAGCCCTCCGAGAATCTCGCCGGGCAGAATTCCCTTGTCTCTAAGGGAACGTGGCCCTTCGTAGGGGACAATTCCCGTCTTTCGTAGGGCATTCCGGGCAAGTGTCCCTCTAGAGGGCTAGGTCCCCTACGCTCAGGAGGGTAGACCTCCAATGCTTATTAGACCTAGTTTTCTGCGCTCTGGATTGAGCCTCGAATGAGCATTTTACTTGAGTGGCGGTCCAGTCCAGAACAATTATTTTAACCCAACTCTAAAAAGCCCGCTATCAAATATATTAACACTTATTATATTGTTTTACATCAAAATAACACATTAATTTTTTCCACCTCACTAAAATTTATCTCTATTCTATTCAATTATGATCTTTTAAATATTATATATTAATATAATGAATATTTTTTTCTTGTGTTCTATTATTTTCTCTTAGGTTAAATATTCAAGTATTATTTTATATAATTTAGACATGTATCGAATTTAAAAACATATTATAAAATTTTTAAAAGGTAATATAGTATTTTAAAATGTGCTATATTTAAATTAATATAATTTTTAATTTTATTTATAATAAATATTATAAAAATAATATTTTAATATTTTTAATAAAAAAAGTCCATTTAAATCGGATAGCTCTGACTAGATTTGGATAATAATTTTTGAGTGGATCGTATAATTAAAAAGCCTAAATCCATGGTAACAGATCCGTTTTTTATCGGGTATCTAATTTTAATAGCTTTATATGTTAGCATTTAGGTCAGTATTTATTAGTATTTCAATTACTTTTGGCATTCTCTAAAAGCTAAGCTAAAGTGATTCCTCAACCCCAATTCACGATAGAAAAGGAGGGAACAAAGCATATCTCCCCAAACCCTAAAATGGACGACAGAGACAAATCCGATAGGCGAAACAGAGATCGACACTCCGAACGTGACCGCGATCACAAGCATCATCGGACCCGCCACGATTCCGATGACCACCGTCATCATCGATTGGACCGGAATGCCAAACACGAACACAAAACTAAGGACCGAGAGGGAAGCAGATATAGGTCTAAAGTGAAGCGCGATGAAGAGATGGAAGATTCAGTGGAGCCGCGACACTCTCCGCATTCTCACAAACGGAAGTATAGGGAACACAGTGACGATCGGGATTTGGAGGATAAGAGAATTAGGGTTTCTGAAGAGAAGAGGGAAGTGAAGAAGGAGCTTAGGAAGTTTGGTGATAAAGTGAAGAAAGATGAAGATTATGATAGTGAGCCCAAGATCAAGGAGGAAGTCACTAATGGTGCCCATGGCTTTGCCTCTTCCAAAGACAACGCTTCTGTGCATAATGTGAGTTTCTTTTAAGCCCCTCGACTTGGTTTAAATTCCCTAATTCTCTGGTTTTGTGGTTATATTTACTATGTATGAATCTTTACTTCTATAGTATTGTCTATGGTTTAGAATATCACTTCAAATTGTAGGTTTTCTTTTATGTGTTTTTGTCTTACTGAATTAGAATAGGAATTCTGATATACTTGATTGGGAAATATGTATGACAATTGACAGTATATATGTCCATTGCTGTGATTTATTTTGTTTCTGTTCAACTTCATTACTAGCTTTTGGAATATTTGGAGAGAAATACATTCATTGGTGTTTGTTCTGTGATGTTGCAGGGCGTTGCGGCCGGATCTCCTGCCGTGGTGCATGCTAGTGTGCCACAGACATCTTTGCCCCCTCCTCCTCCCATTCCTATTAAGGTATCTTCAATTTCTACCACAAATGAAAATAAGGGCGTTAGTATTACCATGTCTCATGAGGTTACTGGAAAATCTAGTACAGATGGGTCTTCTTCAACTGCTGGGAAACCTGGAAGCCTCTCTATTGATGCCTTAGCTAAGGCTAAGAAGGCTTTACAAATGCAGAAAGAGTTGCCAGAAAAGCTCAAGAGAATTCCTCAGGTAAATTGTCTATTGTTTCTACTAATGGTTATCATTTGTTAGCTCTATAGTTTTCTGACAGCCTCCGTCACGATCCACAATTTGATCCTCTAATAAATATGCTTCCTGGCCAGATTGTAACACCAGATGGTGCTATCCCTCGGAAACCAACCAAGGCTCCTGTTCTTCGTCTTGATGCCCAGGGACGGGAAATTGATGAGCATGGAAATGTTGTTAATGTAACTAAGCCAAGCAACCTTAGCACATTAAAGGTGTGTAGTTTTCTCATTTGTCTCTATCATTTATATTTTTCTATGTACGATTGTATTGTCTTTAACCCTACATTCCTTGTCCGATGATTCCAGGTCAATATTAATAAACAGAAGAAGGATGCATTTGAAATACTAAAACCTGTATTGGAAGTTGATCCTGAATCTAATCCTCATTTTGATGAAAGGATGGGTATCGACAAAACAAAGCTCCTGCGGCCCAAGAGGATGAATATTCTGTTTGTGGAGGAAGGAAAATGGTCAAGAGATGCTGAATCAATAAAATTGAAGGTTTCTTTATGTTCTTCCATTTTCTCTCGTTCTAGTTACTTGCACTTTTACTTATTTCTTTCCAATTGTCTTATGTGTGCTTTGCGATTGTTATTTTCCTCCTGCAGAGTAAATATGGAGAAGCTCAAGCAAAAGAGCAGAAGGCCAAGCAAGCACAACTAGCAAAGGCAAAGGCTGCTCCTGATATAAATCCGAACTTAATAGAGATAACAGAGAGAGTTGTATTTAAAGAAAAACTGAAGGACCAAATCCCTGAAATTGAGTGGTGGTAAGTTCTTGTTTTACTTGACTACTGGTTTTCATTTAAGTTTTGTGTTTGTTAAGGTCAAGGATTGTTTTGAAGTTCAGCTAGCGTGCATGTTAGGTTATGACTGTATGCTAAATGGTGATTAAAATCATGTTAAATGAAAGTTCAATGTGATAAATAGTAATTGGCCTGCCAGGCTGTTTGAAAAAAATTCCAACTGTGCAACAATGCTGTTTGACTAGAAATTACAAAGACTTTTTGATGTCTTGTAACTACATTGAGTGGGTCGTTTTGCATGTTGGTGGCGAATCAGAGACGTAGAGCACGCTGTGGGCGATGTGTTGAACTAGGTCCTAGGAAGCAAAATGCTGTTTGACTAGAAATTACAAGGACTTTTTGATGTCTCGTTACTCCATTGAGTGGGTCATTTTGCATGTTGGTGATCGATCAGAGACGTAGAGCATGTTATGGTCGACGCGTTGAACTCGGTCCTAGGAAGTCTAATGTATGAAGTGTATTCTATAACAAGGAAGAAGTAATTGCTGTTTGGAGATAGGGAGGTGTATGGGAAGAGTAAATATAGGTGGGGCTGTTTTGGGTTGGGTTAGACATTTGATTGGTGTGTGAGTTAGGCGGGGATCTATAATCTCTTTATGGTTCTAGAATTTCTGGTCTGATAGGGTGAGGTGATTTCCCAGAAATTTAGCAATCCATGCTACCCAAGGTGTGACAGAGGGGACTTGTAGGAAGGCCTTTTGGTTGTAGTGGAAGGTGGCATGAGGGTTGTTCACTTGATGCTTATAGAAATACATTAATCATCGTAGGAACGAATGCATAGGTTTAGACAAAGGAGTAGAAGAGTGGACAAGAGATCAGGAGGAGGAATATATTTGTGTGGTACATTAGTGTATCAGTTTGGTGACATCCGATTGTATAGGCTATCCGTTTGGAAGGTGGAGCTGCGGTGGTTTTTCCTGTCCATCACAATATAGAGTCATTGGGAAATTCACAACACTTTGGATGAATAGTATTCAGAAAATCTCAAGTCCTACATTAGTTAGACATAGTCTCTTAAGAGTTTATATATAGTGACACCCCTCACTTTACAAGTTAGTTTTGTAGGGATGAATTAGGCCAACTCTAATTTTATTAAGCTATCAGAGCCTATCAATCAGACCACGGGCCACCCACCGTTTATATCCGGGCACCAAGCCCTACTGTGTTGGGTATATTGAGAAAATACACAACACGTCAACACCTGTACATCATTTTAAGTGCTTCCCTCCATTTTATATAGTTGTATAACATATACTTGGATATGGCTGCAAAATGAATATGACATGAATGACTACTAAATATAGTATTGCTTGTCTTGAGAATATGGTTTTGTTATTTAAATAGTATTAAAATTAGAATCAGAAAATGTATTCAAAATATTTGTCAATCCATGTCTCTGAATGTTTATAAGTCTTAAATTAACTTTTATAATTTGTCAGGGACGTGGCACTTCTGCATTCTGGAAATTATGGTGACATCGCTAACGGAACTATAGGTGAAGACAAGCTTAAAATGGAAAAAATCACCTTTTATGTGGAGCATCCTCGTCCCATTGAACCACCTGCTGAGCCTGCCCCTCCACCACCTCAACCCCTCAAGCTAACCAAACAGGAGCAGAAGAAACTCAGGACCCAAAGGCGAATAGCTAAGGAGAAAGAGCGGCAGGAGTTGATTAAACAGGGTGTCATTGAACCGCCAAAACCAAAAGTCAAGATGAGCAATTTAATGAAAGTACTAGGGACTGAAGCAACTCAAGATCCCACTAGGCTTGAAAAGGAAGTACGTAATGCAGCTGCTGAGCGTGAGCAGGCTCACATAGATAGGAATATTGCACGCAAGCTTACTCCTGCTGAGCTGCGTGAGAAGAAGGAAAGGAGGCTATTTGATGACCCAAACACATTAGACACACTGGTCTCACTTTACAGGATTAATGACCTCTCTCATCCAAAAGCCCGCTTTAAACTCGATGTTAATGCTCAAGAAAACCGTTTGACTGGATGTTCTGTGATTTGTGATGGTATTAGTGTTGTTGTGGTTGAAGGTGGAAGCAAGTCAATTAAGAGGTATGGGAAACTTATGCTTAGACGTATAAATTGGAGTGATTTTTCTAAAGAGAAAGAAGAAGACGAAGATTCAGATGATGACAAGCCTGTCAATAAATGTGTTCTGGTATGGCAAGGGAGTATTGCCAAACCAAGCTTCAATAGGTTCAGTGTTCATGATTGCATCCCTGAAGCAGCTGCTCGGAAAGTTTTTGTGGATGCTGGAGTTCCTCATTATTGGGACCAAGCTGTCAACTACGTAGATGACGAAGCTTCTTCAATTGTCTTCTAATGTTTTTGGTCATATTATTAGCATGCCTAAGCTGTCTTTTGGTGAGTGACTCAGTTATGCAATTTACAATCAGAATTTTGAACAAAATTAGCTGTTGTTACTATCTCGTTTCCTATGGTCAATGATGTCTACAATCACTATGGATTTGGTACATCATTTAGTGGCCCTTCAATATGCCTGATGATTGTGAGCGATGTCGCATGGTTAAAAATCCTAGGCTTTCATGTTAATTTGTTTTCAGTTGAGATATTAATTTATTTTTAATATAAATAAATTAGAAAGTTGGATATAAAACTACCATTGAAATTTGAATATGTAATATAAAGTATGAGATTCGAAAAATATGATGTTGAGAAAGTGTAATGTTATCCTCAACTCCGTTTATTTCTTGTCATTTTTGGATAAATAACTAAAAAAGAGTTTATCGAATACTACCATTTAACTATTTATGTATAACTTGTCTCTATATCTATGATAAAAAATAAAATAAAAATTACTTTTCGTCTAATTCAAGTTGTTTGTATAAGTCATTATAAATAGTTTGTAGTTAACTATTTATGTATAACTTGTCTCTATATCTATGATAAAAAATAAAATAAAAATTACTTTTCGTCTAATTCAAGTTGTTTGTATAAGTCATTATAAATAGTTTGTAGAAATAAGTTGAAGGTAACATTAACTAAATTAATTTATATAGTTTAATTCACTAGTTATTGTTTTGTTTTCGTTTCTCATAAAATTTCTCTTAATGTAATTACATTTAAGGCATGCTAGTCTAGTTTGAATGTGTTAGAATATTTGGGTTTATTATAATTTCTGCAATATTAAAAAGACATGAAAAAGTGAAAATTTATAGAATTGAAAATTAGCTCAAGACTACAGTGCTACGCCGGAAGAAAATCAAGAGAAAGGGTCAGAAGAAAATCAAGAGAAAGGGTCATGGATGGAACATGAAATATAACATTTAATTTATTAAAATTCTGGCATATCATACTCGAGATGTCATATGACATCTGATGCGACATTTTTAATACTTACAACAAGATAAATATATTTATTAAAATCAATATTTTAAAAATCGAATTGGAGATCTAATTGATGAAGCTTTCAATTTAATGTTCAATTGGTTAAACCGGTTAAACCTACAGTCGAATCGTTTGTTAAATAAACTTAATACAACAATATTGATAATACATATAATAACACAACATAGTCACATACTTCATTTTAAATTTCATTTAAGAATAATTTAGACAAATTAAAAAATTACAATAAAATAAGTTAAGCTTATTCAAACCAAAATTAAAATAATAGAAAATAATAATTAAAATAAAGTTTAAATAATTAAGAATATTAAAATTAAATAAGATAGAATACAAAAACAAATAATATAATATACTTAATTAAATCATGAAAAACAAATTCGAATGGAATTACAACAAATAAATCATAATTGACAATAAAAACAAAATTAAATTAAACGACAATCAATAGTGAACTCGATAATATGACTATGTTTGAAATAGACAATCTGATGATGATTGAACATGGTTGAAAGAAAAACTATAACGGAGTGACAAAACTTAAAAGTTTTTATGGTTGTAAAAAGAATAAGTAATTATTTTTTTTTGTAATTGGAGAATGTATGATACGTTTTGATATTGACATGTTGGGGAAATGGTCAATTTGATGCATTTTTTTGAACTGAGCGGTTTTATAAATCCGGTTTCGGTTCTTTGGTTCAATTGGTTTTGAACG